AGTGGCCCTACCACGAGGGCCAGAGTGTCGGAGCGTTGCAGAGGGGCGCCTTGTAGTAGGTGATAGCGCGCCTCTCGAGGTCCAGGCAACAAGTGATCGCGTCGTCCTCGCTGCGGCCAGACGTCACCGTTGCGGCTGCTACTACTCTTACTCCGATCCATGATACTTACTAGGAGATACTCCGACTCTCCACCACAGCCAGCCGATAAGGGCCCAATCTGGACCCTTCATCCTACGAGCGAACAAACAATACAACGATGTGTATCTCAACATGGACAGTACGTCGTCCATGTTGCCCAATGCGCAGCCGCAATGGGACAGAACGCTCATCCCGCGCGAAAGGCCGAAATGCCCACGCTACAGCACCGCGCTCATTTTTCCCCAATAAATCTTGCCTAAGGATCCTTACTTGGTAAATGGTTGGCGCCTCGGGGGGCTACTTCGCCCGTTCCTCGGAGGTTCCCCAGGTTTCTCGGATTCCTCGGGTTCCCCGGAAAGTCGGTGCCTCAGGGAGCTACTTTGCCTGTTCCCCGGAGGTCCCCTGGGTTCCTCGGGTTCCTCAGGTTCCTCGGGCCCCCCCGGTTTCTCGGGTTCCCTGGGTTCCTCGGGTTCCTCGGGTTCCTCGGGTTCCTCGGGTTCCCCGGGCTGCTCGGGTTCCTCGGGTTCGGGTTCCCAAGGTTCCTCGGGTTCCCCGGTTTCCCCAAGCAACGCCAAGCAATCCCAAGCAATGCCAAGCCATGTCAAGCAATGCCAAGCAATGCCAAGCAACGCGAAGCAATGCCAAGCAATGCCAAACAATCCCAAGCAGTGCCAAGCAACGCCAAGCAACGCCAAGTAATGCCAAGCAATACCAAGGAACCCCAAGCAATGCCAAGGAATGCCAAGAAATGCCTAGCAATGCCGAGCACTGCGCCCATGCAATAGGAGGTTCTCCCCTCACTGAGGTCGCGCCGGGCTCATGTCTCTAGAGACTACTCGGGTTCCCGCCTGAGCGTGGCGCGCAATTGTCGCACGCAAGTGTGTCGACGCGCGAGCGGGCGAAAATAAAGCCCTCGCCGCGGCGCCGAGCAGACTTGGCCTGAAAGTAACGTTCCCGCACCGACGCGGCGCACAGTTCTTCACCCGCTGGTTTTGGGGGGGCCCCGCGAGTGGGGGGCGACGTGCCGCCCTCGCCCCCCAAGCTCCGCGGTGTCGCGCGCGGGCACGGCACGTGGCTCGTGCGCCGGATCGCATGAGAGCGACAGCGGCAGCGGGGTCGCGCGGAGAACGGAGGAAGCGCCTCCTCGCCCCAACGCCGCTCGGCTTGCTAATGTCAGTCGCAGCGCGGCGCATGCTTCGTCGCCGCTCGGCCCAGCGGAAGCACTGCCGCTCCCGCCCCTGCGCGGCCCGCGTGCTTTTCTATTCGCCAAGCCGTCGGAAGCGGGGCGGCGCGCGAGCGCCTTCCGTTTGCGAGGCGAGAGCGCGTTCCAATCAAAATACCACGTCGTGCCACACATGTGTTCTGCTGTTGTGTGGGAGAGGCTGCGAAATTGGCGGTGCCCTCCGACTCGCTCGGTTTGGCGAACTCGGCTCTTGTCCGTGTGCCGTATCAGAACAGTCCCCCCCTCTGCCACTCTCGATCCGCGCGGCCCCGTCTTGCCTGTCAAGAACGAAAATCATACAAGAACAACAACAACATCAACATCAACAACAACAACAACAACAACAACAACCACAACCACAAAACAACCACAACCACAACAACAACAACGACAACAACAACAACAACAACAACAACAACCACAACAACCACAACAACAACAACAACAACAACAACAACAACAGCAACAGCAACAGCAACATCAACAAAAATAATAGCAGCAACAACAACAACCAGAAGGTGTTGTGGCTCAACAAGAACAGTACGTTGTCCATGTTGCACACTGCGTGGCGGGAATGGGGCGGGGCGCACGTCCCGCGCGAAGGGCTGAGATGTCGCTCTCGACTCGACGCCGCGTTCAGTGTTCTGGAGCATTCGTGTCCCGCTTGGGCGCGGCGCACACTTGTCGCATGCACGTTCGTCGTCGCGCGAGCGGGCGACAAGGTCGTTCTCAACCCAGGCGCCGCGCAGCTCTCGCCTGAAAGTGGCTCTCCCGCCTCCACGCGGCGCATGTCTTCTTCTTTCGCACGCCACTCTAATCTGGGGGGGGGGGCGGCGGGCGACAGGGCGACGTGTCGCCCGGGAGCAAACTGCTCGGGACTGGCGCGTTCCGGCCCAGGCGCGGCGCATGGCTCGTGGGCAGAAGCGCGCGGAGAACGACAGCGGCAGCGGGGCCGAGTGAGAGCCGGCGGCCTGCCGGCCTCGCGAGAGCACCGCGAAGTTTGTGAGTGAAGGTGGCAGTGCTGTGCCAGCGCGGCGCATGCTGCTAAGTCCTCGCCGCGCCCGTCGGCAGTTTTGCCGCTGCCACCCCTGCGCGACCCGCGTGGCTTTCTCTTCGTCAAGTCGTCGGAAGCGAGGCCGCGAGCGAGCGCCTTCCGTTTGCGAGGGGGGAACGCGTTCCAATGCCAATATCACGTTGTGACGAATTTGGTTCGTATGTTGCGGGAAGGGAGGGGGGGGGAGTAGGAGCGGCCTTCTGACTCGCTCGACCTGGCTAGCTTGACTCCTGCTCCTGCACCACCTCCTCCTCCTCCTCTTCCTCCTCCTCCGCCTCCTCCGCCGCCTCCTCCATCCGTCTGCCTTATGAGCAACTCCTCCCTGTCGCACCCCCAGACGTGCCGGTAGGGCGTGCCAGGCGCTTTGCCTGAGACTCCCGAGCTACTTACGCCCCTGAAGCTCGAAACCTGCACCAGCGTCACGGATGGGGTGCGGGTCCCTTTCAAAATACGGCTCTCGCTTTAGCACCGCGGACATTCGTCTGTATAGTTTGCAGCATGCTCAAAGATGGACTGCGGTTGGCTTGCAAAATCTGGCTTTCCACTCAGCGCCGCGCCCATGATGGTTACATGTTTACACCCGCTTCAAAGATGGAGGACAAGTCTTGTTTCAAAAGAAGAGTGTTGCCTTAATTAGTGCCGCGCGTCTTTGTCTTAAAAGTTCGCAGCCGCTTCAAGGATGGAGGGCGGTTCCTTTTCGAGACATGGTTCTCGCCTTAGTGCCGCGTTCATGTGAGCTCAAGGGTTGCAACATATTCTAAAAAACCTTGTTGTTGGAGTCCCAAGAATCGCGTTCTGGCACAAATTAAGAGTGTCCGGACGCAACAATCATGTTGACTCGCGGGGTTGAAGTCTGAGGAAAGGCATTCTGGCACGATATAAGAATGTTTCGTGGCGCTGAAATCCCAGGGATGGTGTTTTGGCACGACTGTGGATTCTCAAACGGTTGTCCTCCAATGGGGCACCTACTTCCCGCAATGATTTTTTCAGGAGAAGGAGGAAAGCAGAGGGGAATGACCGCGACGACGCCAGACAATTCGCGCGCGGCACGGGATGTTTGCATCACACCACGCAGGATGCGACAAGCCGGAGACTGGTGCAACGGCAGGAGCACATAATGAAAATGTCACGAATTACGGCCCGCAGACGCAGAAGAAGAGGAAGGGGAGGAAGAGGAACGGGGAAAGGGCTGACACGAACCGTGCCCCAATTCGTAGTTATCATCCAGTGAGCGTGTTTTCTATTCGGCGTTTCGGCATGGGGCGGAAACGGGGGGGAGGGGGGGTCTGGCTCCGGACCTCTGCTCAGTGCGACCGTCTGCAAGAGTGCGGCCTCTGGGGGAGACTCCACCCGCTCGAAACAGGCGCCAAGAAACAGCCAAGATCTACTCCATGGGGGAGGGGGCAGGGGGGGGGTTGGGGGGCCCGCGCCGATCGGCACAACGGTGAATGAAAAAACGATCACCTGGCTTTGCGCGAGAGCAGACGAAGAAACGGCGAGGCAACCTGAACGGTCGCAGACCAGGTGGGGCAGCTCGGCCCCAAAAAGGCTACACCCGAAAATGCCAAGGGGGACGCGCGCGCGCCACGGGCAGACCGCCGACGCGCAGGAGGCGGCCCTGGCGCGCAGCCCGCGCGCGAGGCACTTGTGCGTGTCACACGCTGGCCCGGCGAAGACAGCAGCTGCTGTGCGGACTAGCTGACCTCTCCCTTTCTGTCCTCTCCGTGCGCGTTTTCGTATTCGGCGTATCGACATTGGGCGGAAACGGGGGGGAGGAGGGGGATCTGGCTCCTGACCTCTGCTTAGTGCGACTGTTTGCAGCAGTGCGCCCACTATGGGGGAGGGACCCCACCTGCTCGAAACAGGCGCCAAAAAACAGCCAAGATCTACTCCATGGGGGGGGGAGGGGAGGGGGAGGGGGGCCCGCGCCGATCGGCGAAACAATTAATAAAAAAGATCACCTAATTGGCTTCTCCCTCTCTGTCCTCCCTTCTGCCGTTTCGTTTCGTCGTCGCTCGCCGTCGCCCGTGTCTCGCCGTTGGTCGCTCTCTTACGGCACCAGTGCCTTTCAGAGTGGCCTGCACTGCAGAGCTTGCCTTGGCGCTCTTTGCCCATGGCCAAAGTTTGACGCTTAGGCTTCGAGTTCACTCCATGGCTGCTCGTGGTCGTTCATGGCGGACTGTGGTCGCCCAGTCACGGCGGAGTGTTTGCATTTCACGTGCTGGATTGTCTCTCCTCTTGCTTTCTCCTCCTCCTCCTCCTCCTCCTCCTCCTCCTCCTCCTTCTCCTCCTCCTCCTCCTCCTCCTCCTTCTCCTCCTCATCCTCCTCCTCCTCCTCCTCCTCCTCCTCCTCCTCCTCCCCCCCCGCTTCCGCTGTTCTCTCCTCGCAATGAGAATATCTCCCCCCCTCTTCCGCTGTTCTCTCCTCGCAATGAGAATATAGTCTTGCAGGGACCTATGGAGAGGGGGCTTGGGGGAAGGGTTGATGGCAACATCGTTGATGCGTCTTGGGCTTACACTGGTCCTCCTGATCCTCCTCCTCCTCCTTTCCCTCCTTCTCCTGAGACCGTCCCGCATGGCAGGTCCTTGCCGTACGTTTGCCCGTACTTCTCAAAGGCGCCGTTGTGGGACTTCGTGGCCGTGCCTGCGTCCAGGGGAGACTGCGCGGGCCTGGTAGGGCCCCACGGCTGATCGCAAGCTGGAAGCTACTCCCGAGTACTCCGGCGGCGCGCAGAAGGGATGGGGCAGCATAAGCGGTGCCAATGGCGAGTGTGGCGCACCCAGAGACCCGGGGGGGGTCCCACTCGGGCCCGCGCAGAACACCACCCGACTGGACCCCTGGGGGGCGCAACATTCTGGCGAAAGTTGCGCGGCTGGCAGCACTCAGGGAGTTGCACCCAGGGAGAGCAAGACAAGAGATAAGGCGAGGGACAAGAGGAAACGACAATAGAAGCGGGAGACGTGGAGAGGAATGCGAGAGGACGGTGGGGAGAAGGCGGGAGGAGAAGAGGAAGCAAAGAGCAACAGTGGTCTGTCGGACAGTGGGGGGTGGGCACTAAGGTGTAGAATAGTTTTTGGCGATCGCGGCCCCGCGCGCAGCGACGAGGCGCAGAAAGTCGAGCACAGTGAACGGGCCCCATCGCAAGCCAGTCTCAGAACAGAGCCGCGACATATGCCATCCAGGCATGGATGGCAGGGAGAAAATGAAGACAAGAGGGAAGACGGCCCGACGACCGGGGGAAGGGAACCGCACGGCTGCAAGCGACAACAGGGACGGCGCCGATGGAGGCTATGGCAGGCGCGCACTCGGAGAGCGAGCGGGCGACTGCCGCGGACCAAGCGTGCGTGAGAGAGGTGAGCGGAAAGCCGTGGAAGGGGCGGAGCGAAGGTTTGGCAGGAGGCTCAACGCCTTGGCCTGCGCCTCCCACACACACACATATGCAGGAGCTGCCCTTGGAAAGGCGGAGCCAGGACCAGGAGACAAAGCCATCCTCTGGCGGCTGCCATTCCCCCAGCGCGGCCTGGCTGGTCGGCGGGCCCGCAACTGGCCCGAGTCACAGGAACACGGCGAGCCGGGAGCACAGCACAGCCCAACCTCCCTCGGATATACTCAACGTTGTTCGAGACCACGAGAGGCCACCCGAGCCCATATTGTGAGGGTATCCGAAAACTGGCCGAATCGCAGTCCCGGGCCACCCGATTGTGTCGGACGATCGCCGAGAAATGCCGAAGCTGTGCTGTGACTTTCGAAGCTACACGAGGCCACCCGAAACAAGCTGACACGTCCTGGGACTCATCATCATCATCATCATCATCATCATCATCATCATCATCATCATCATCATCATCATCATCATCATCATCATCATCATCATCATCATCATCAGCATCAGCATCAGCATCATCATCATCATCAGCAGCAGCAGCAGCATCAGCATCATCATCAGCATCAGCAGCAGCATCAGCATCATCAATATTAGCATCACCATCATCAGCAGCAGCATCAGCATCAGCATCAGCATCATCAGCATCATCATCAGCATCAGCATCGTCATCGTCATCATCAGCATCATCATCGTCAGCATAAGCATCGGCATCATCATCATCATCAGCAGCAGCAGCAGCATCAGCATCACCATCATAATCATCATCATCATCATCATCATCAGCATCAGAAGCAGCAGCAACATCAGCATCAGCAGCAGCATGTCACCCTTCGTCTTTTCATACTCTTCATCCGTATCGTCGCAAGCATCAGCATCCTCATCATCAGCACCATCACCATCGCCATCATCATCCACATCAGCATCGTCATCACCACCACCATCCTCATCACTACCATCACCATCATCATCATCATCATCATCATCATCATCATCATCATCATCAGCATCATCATCATCATCATCATCATCATCATCATCATCATCATCATCATCATCATCATCATCATCATCATCATCATCATCATCATCATCAGCATCAGCATCATCAGCATCAGCATAATCCTCATCATCCTCGCCTCTCCACCCCCTCCTTCTCTTCCTCCTCCTCCTCCTCCTCCTCCTCCTCCTCCTCCTCCTCCTCCTCCCTATTCCTCCTCCTCCGCCTCCTCCGCCTCCTCCTCCTCCTCCTCTGCCCTTCTCCCCGTTCCCGCAACTGTGACCAGGGACCCTACCCTCTCGGAACCGCTAGGTGCCACGAAGTATGCGAGGGGTGTGCCGAAATGGGGCGGTGGTGCCATGCGAACGCTCCCACTGGGGCCTCAGGTGGGGCCCACCCTATGGGGCCACGAAACGTGTGAAGGGTTTGCCGACATGGGGAGGTGGTGCCATGCGAACTCTTTTACTGGGGCCTCAGGTGGAGCCCACCCTATGGGGCTCCGAAACGTGTGAGGGTGTGCCGAAATCGGGCGGTAGTGCCATGCGAACCCTCCCAGAAGGGCCGTAGGTGGAGCTCTCTATGGGCCCACGAAACGTGTACGGGGAGTGCCGAAATCGTGCGGTTGTGCCATGCGAACCCTCCCACGGGCGCCTTCGGTGGAGTCTGTATGGGCCGCGAAACGCGCGAGAGGTGTGCCGAAACACAAACATACGGAGGTCAGGGGCAAGGAAGGGATGAGGGTGGACGGGGAGCAGGAGAGGTTTAACGCGGGGCGCTGTCTCGTCAAAACGAGGACCCAACACCACAGGATGAATTCAATGGGCGCCAGTGGTGGGATCAACAAGACAACTGTATGAAATATCGTCTTCAATTGCTCGCGCTTCAATCAACATGCAACGTCCTCGATGAACCCGAGTAGCGGTGCGATGGCGGAAGAGAGGGTGGAGGTGACGGTGATACCCCTTTTTCGGGTGGCGGTTCCAGGGGCCCAGGCTCAGGGAGCCTGCCACTCATAGGAACATGATGCCCCATGGTGGGGGGGGACGTTGTTCTGAAATAGCCAAGCGCCTGAACCTAAATGGCACCAGATGTCGGGCGGTAGAGGAGGGGGAGAACTGACGTCCCGACACACGGAAGCGCATCCTCGATGGACCCTAATAACGGTGCGATGGCGGAAACAGGGGAGGGAGCTAGACTGATACGGTGATACCCCGTTTTCGGGCGCCGGTTCCGGGGCCCTGGCTCAGGCACGCACCGCGGGGGCGGGGAGAGGACACCCGGAGATGAGGGGAGGACCCCGGGGGCCGATCCTCCCGCTCACATTTCTCCTCCTCTCCCTCTTCGCGGCACCGTGGCCGTACCCGCCACCGCACGTGCACAAGAGGCGACAGGCGCGGCCACCAAGCTCTGCCCATCGTCATTAGGGTCCTCCGCGGTCGAGGCCCCCCCTCCCACGCCGGACCCCCGCCCACGCCCTCCGTGGAAGGACGGGGGCCCTCAAAGGCAGGAGAGGCGCCTTCGCCGTAGAGGGGCCCGCCGGAGGGTGGGAGTTCAAGAATGTCCTGGAGGCGCGCCGAGCAGCCGCTCGGAGCCCCTCCCCGCTTGGAGAGCCGCCGCCAAGCCCCGCCCGAGACGCGCCCCAAGGCGAGCGGTCGACGGCCTCCGAGCGGGGCGGTTCCGAGCGGCGTCGAAAAGAGCCGCCGCCACGGCATGGGACGCCGCGGAGGGCGCGGCATCCTGGGGCCGCCTCGCGGGGCGGCCCCTCTCCCGGCCGCGCGCCTCTTTCCTCGAAGATGGCCTCATGGAGCCCCTGGGAATCCACGTCCTGCTGCTGGGGACGCGCGCCCCCGGAGGCGCGCGGCAAGTAGAGCTTTCTCGTCGCTGGGCCGAACGGCGGCCAGCGCTCCCGTCAGCGCGCGGACGTGGCTCCCGCCCCGAAGGGTCGCGTGGAGCCCCGCCGCTGCTCGCGCTCGCGCCAACATTCGGCGACCCGTCTAGCTGCCTCGTAAACCTCTTCTCTACGAGGTCGAGCGGCTTGCGCGTCTCGGCCCCAGTCGGGCGCGCCTGTGCCGCCATCTCGCGCGGGGGGCGCCCCGCGGTTGCCCGGCCGACCATGGCCTGCACGGCTTCCGCGAAGATCTCGGTCCTCAAGTCTGGGGGCTTCTGCACGTCTGGGTCCCAGCGGCCATGCGACTGGAGGCCCGCGCCGTCGTGGAAGCCCCTCTGGCCATCGGTGAACTCGTCGCTGCGCGGCGGGTCCGCGCCTCCGAGTTGGCCGGGGGGGCTCGAGGGCGCGGGCTCCTCATCTGCTCGCCACGCCGCGACGATGGCGCCGCCCCACTTGCTCGGCGGAACCTCAGCAGTTTCCCCGCTGAGCGGGCCGCTCTTTTATGGAGCCCCTTCTTCAGCATTCCTGAGCACTCACCCTGCACTGCGAGCGCGCTCCCCGAGCGGCCCCGGGCGCGTTTCCCCCACTTGCTCGGCGGGACCTCGGCGTTGTCCCCGTCGACGTAGATCTCGCCTCCGCTGAGCGGGCCGCTCTCTATAGGGAGGCTCCTCCTCGGCGTTCCTGAGCAATCGCCCCGCACGGCGCGCGCGCGTCTCCCGAGCGGCCGCGGGCGAGGCACCCCCTCCCACGGCGGGCAGTGAGCTGCTCGGCCAGCCTGCCGATGCCCTGGGCCGCCCACTCGCACAACTGCGGGGGCCAGGCCGCGGCGCGCCCGTCATCGAGGCCGACGAGCCTGTCCATCGTCGGCTGCCGCCGCCTGCTGGCGGAGCGTTGTTCGCGAAGGTCGCCCGCCTGGCCGCCATCGAAAGCCTCGGGCTGGTCGAGGAGGCCAGCTGCCTGCTCGCTGCTTGCCGGGTGTACTGGAGGGAGAAGTTGGCGAGCTGGTCGGACACCTGGCCCTTGGTTCCGCAGTCCTCCAGCCCTAGGAATGCCCACGGGAACTGCGTAGACCGCAACGGGCGCGGGCCTCGGCGGCTTGTCCCCCTGCCCGCGACCATAGATCGCGGGGCGGTGAGCTCCCGGGGCACGCCCCACTGGTCTGCTGCCAGAAGACCAACGTCGTCGCCCTGCCGCGCTGCGTTGGAAGCCTTGCCCTGCGGGCGACAAAGAGGATGACTCGCCCGCGCGTCGGCCAGGCTCCCGTCACGAAAGGTCGTCTGAAGCTCTGCTGTCGCTCGCGCTCGCCTCCCTCCTGCCGCCACTCACGTCGGTACCACTCGCCTCCTTTCTGCGTGCACGCAGGGGCAAGCCGGGCTCCGCCTCTGCAGGCGCAGAAGAAGTTGTTCCCATTGGCCAGGCCGCATCGTGGCGTCGAGGGCGCACGGCCGAAGGGCCAGCTTCAGCGCCCAAACCGTTGTTCTGAAACTGCCGAGCGCCTGAGCCAAAATGGCATCAGACGAGGGAAGGTGCACGCCCCCCCTTTCCGTGCCGTCTGCGGGGCAATCCACGACAAGGCAAGACAGGCAGGTCGGGCCGGCGGACGGGCGGAACCTGGCCAGCGGGTCAGGCAGGCGTGCCCTGACAGGCGGGGCGGCTGGGCAGCTAGCGACTGGCGAGCTGGGAGGGCGGAATGTCAAAGCGGGCGGGCGGGCTGGGCGGACCCTACCAGAAGGTCGGGCGGGCGGGACATTAGACGGGCGGGTCGGGAGGGCGGTCCCTACAGACATACTGGCAGGGCGGGACACTAAAACGGGCGGTCGGGATTCCAAGCAAGGGAACGGGCGGACTTAACGGGCGGGTCAGGCGGACGGGCACGCGGCACATGAAAACGCGACTCCTGCGTAGATCGTAGGGTTTCCCGGGCGAGAGCGCGAGACCTACGTAAATTGTGAGGAAGTCAATCGGCGAAGGTTTAACTCATGCGTGGCGCAAGCACGAATCCACAATGCATTGTGGGAACCTCTCCGGCGAGAGTACAGCATCTGACCGGTAAGAGACATTGTTCTGAAGTACCTATTGACGACGCCTCAAACGAGAGAACGCTTCGTGGGTAATCTGCAAGGGAAGCTCGAAGAAGAGCGAGACTCGTGACTAAACTGTTAGGAAATCTCTAACACTTCCAAAAAAACTATTGTGGATCCCCTCCTCCCTCCGGTGCACTTTGTCCTCTTTCAATTGAAATGCCCCTCCCGGGGGTCGCACCCTGCATGGAAAGTCTTGAGCCTCAGACTAAGCCCCTGGCCCCCAGCTTACCACAACAACGGCTCCCGCTTGATACTTCCTCGCAATTCAAAATCGCGCTCTCGCGCGGGACCTCCTCACAATCTGCGAAAGAATCTCGCTCTCGCGCGGCAGTTCCTCGCAATTTATTGAAACGCCGCGCCTACCACAGTCAGTAATCACGCGCTATCGCTCTGGACGCCCTCGCGACTTACGTGGGAATCGCACTATCGCTCAAGACTTTTTCGCGATGAATGCAAGATAGACGCTTCAGCGACCCACCCGCTCGACCCGGTTGTCTGGGCCTGCCCGTCCGACCCACCCGTTAGAATCTGCCCGCCAGACTCGCCAATTTGGCTGTGCTGCTTGTTTTCCTGCTCCTAACCCTTGTCCCGCTAATCTCTCTCGCGCTCCGTCCTTCTCCGTCCCCGTTGCCCCCTCCCTCCGCACTCCCTTCCCCTGTTTGAGGCGCTGCGCCGACTACACGTGGCAGGTAAGAAAGACATACCCCCTAGAGGAGTATGATCGAAGACCAAGAGGGCGGATATCGAGGGCTTGGGATATATAAATCTATATATATATATACACATATATATACAGATGTGTTGAGTGGCACTCGAGCATATAATAGCGAATTGTCTGAAAATGATGAATGTTGTTGTTGTTGTTGCTGGGGGTGTTGTTGCTGGTGTTGTTGTTGGTGGTGGTGGTGGTGGTGTTGTTGTTGCAATCGGGGGGTCAACGACACAGTTTGACGTTCAACCTTTTTCCCAACAGGACCACACTTGGCACCAGCGAGGGGGGAACCACAACACGTGCTCTTCAGAAGCGAAAGCCAAACCGCAACAAAAACAAATACTCCGAGGGCTCCGCTACGCCCCGCGAGCCGAGCGAAGCCGCCGGCGCCTCCGTAGCCCCACGACCAGGCGTCGGTGCCCAGGGCCAGCGTGGCCGAGGCCGCGGACCAGCCGATGCGCAGGTTGCCTCCGCGCCGCGGAAGTGCCGCGAGGCCGGCGCGCTCCGCGCGTCGTCCTCCACCTTCCAATCCTCCTCGTCCTCGTTTGGGCGGTAGCTGACGACCTGCCAGACCACCCCAACCCGACCCGAAGACCCGAATTGGACCCGAATTTCGGTTTTGTGGTCCGTTTCGGATTCCATGTGTTTTTTCAACGTTCCCCGACCCCCCCCCCCCGCTGGAAATGGAAGGCAAATTGAGGGCTTCGGGTTGGGTTGGGGTGATTTGGTGGGTGGTGAGTAGCTGGTTCGCTGGCTGCTAATTCCCGCCGCCAATGCGAAGTCCTCTTCCTTCGCATCAACTGGAACTTGTTCCAGATCCTTTAATTTCTCCTCTCCTCCTCCTACTCTTGAACCTGGCCTTGAAGTTGAACCTCCTCCTCCTCCTCCTTCGCCTCCTCCTCCTCCTCCGCCTCCTCCTCTTCCGCATCGTCATCATCAGCATCGTCATCGTCATCATCATCAGCATCATCATCGTCATCGTCATCGTCATCGTCATCATCAGCAGCATCAGCATCAT